AGGTCGCTAAAGTCATATAGAGCTCAAAACACGTCGTTATAGCACTGAACAAGATCTGTCATGGGTTGCTGAACCTTTTGGAATGATCGCCTCAGGTTGCTTGTTGTAAATCTTGAAGATTCATGTCATGACCTTCTCTCGGTTCGCTGGTCGAGTAAAGCTATTAGCCTCATGTCGTTTGTAACAATGTGACTATCCTCAACTGATTGCTCGGGCAAATACTCCTTACAACAAGTCAGGTCGCAACATAATCATGAAGTTCTCAAGATTCAATTCTTGAACCCTAAGAACTGGAGAGCTTCTGTTATGCCTAAAAAGTTAGGGCTGACGTAAGCTTATGTTAGTAAGCACGAATCAGAGTTCAGGAAGGCTTTACGCCATCTAGGAGCTGTCACGCCGTTCTATGACAAAAAGAGTATGGTTGTCACCAAATTGGCAGATTCAGGTTTTGTCTATGAGTGAATGAGGGCCGCAAACCTATCCAAGCCTAAGTAATTTGAGGATATTTCCCAAGTTATCAGTCAATGGGACGCAAGGAAGGACTTGCATGGCACCTACCCACTTGCAGATTTGTAATCATTACCTTAAATTCCTCCACTATAAATAGAGGATTCCCCCTTTCATTTTTTGGACTTATGAGACTGAACCCTCATTCTAATTGTAATCTTTATTTTCAGAGCAAAGATCACCTAAGAGAAAGAGACTGACTTAATATTCAATCTGAATATTCAGTTATTGTACCTCTATTCGTTGTTCGCTATATGCGACCTCCTGTAATCTCTCATATATAAAATAGCAATAGATGTATGATTCGCTTTAAGCATCCGAACCATTTTAAAAATCATCTTTTATTTATTATTCGATCTTTGTATTAGATTATCATAATTATTCGCGTGTAATTTTTAAAAGTTGTTTAGCACTTTGCACATATGAGTCTTTGGTGTCAAAATCAAGCATCAACAACTTATAATTAATTAAACTGCCTTAAGTATCTTAGAATTAATATTCATGCATGTGCCTAGTTATTATTTAGATAAAAAATACCCCTAGTATTATATTATTTAATATGTCAACAAAAAAGCAGTAGTGGATGGGATGAATTAATTGCAGAGTATTTGCATATCAATAGTAAGTTATATGGGAGAGCCAAAGGTTGCTGTGGGAGCCAAAAAAAGGCTTCATTGATGCCAAAGTTGAAGTCTTACATAGAGAATGTCTTTAGTTCTTTCGTAATTAAGAAAGTAATAGCACGAGTGAATGATTGGTTAATTTTTAGATGACCAAAATCATCGCATCTCGCTACGTTATTTCTGATTCATGTGCTTCAACTACCTTTGGATTTGTGTTTATTGATTGGGTAATGTATGAGTTGAATGGTTTGATTGTTACAGAGTTGGGTTCTTTGAACCGCGTTAACCCCATAAATGCAATACGAATTTTCTCTATGGAAGTCGTTATTAATCATATGGCCTTAACTGTATGAAAAAGATTAGGTCGATGCGGAGCCAAACCGAAACCAATCACATGCCCATCTCTTTCTTATGTCGACACTTAATCAAACTGTCCCTACTTCATACAGATATCATTAAATCCTTGTATCCTTAGTAAAACATATTAAGTAGGTAATTAATGTTTTTTGTTTGATGAACTGTCATAACCAAATCAAAGTAAAGAATTTCATCAATTTAATTCCTAGTAATACACAATAGTTAACCTCTGAATTCTAAACATTTTATAAATCCATATCCACTTGAGAGTTGAGGTTGGGACTATCGTATATGTAGTCATGAGTCATACACTAGTGCTCGTTACGTACTGAAGAAAGCAAATTAAAGTAGAAATGGAGCTGAAACTACCTGTAAGCCCCATAATACTTGAACAGCTCAGCTCTCTCGCTCAGTGTTTATGCCTTTCTCTGGAATTTGAAGTCCCAGTTGAATGTACAGCAGGTATGTAGTTGATCAAGGATGCGCTTCTCTCCATAAACTCACGTTTTACTCCATTATGGTAAATACTCTCTATCTAGTGGGATATCATAATAATATCCTACCAGCAGCGCAGCCGGTGTTACAATATTCAAGCTCCACAACAGATCATTAATGACAAGAAAAGTTCTTTATCTGTTTACCTCACTGGTCAATTTCTGGAGATTTTGAAGAAATTTAGAGGCCCCGAGGTACGTTTAAATTGTTAGACAATTAGGTGCATTATAATTATGAGCTTCCGGTGTTCTATTTATTAGTAATCATATGTTAAATTTTAATGAATGTTTTTAAACCAAACATGTGGATGTTGGCGTCACACAGGCAGTTGTTGGTGCACCTCAGGTACTTTAAATCCTTCACTTTACTTTAATAATTAATTAATTGCCACTACCTTAAAGCATCTTAGGATTAATATAATCATGCATGCGGATAGTTATTGAGAAAAAATTCTCCTAGTATTGTATTATTCATATGTCAAGAAAATAATGGATGGGATGAATTGCAGAGTATTTGCATAGCAATAGTGAATTATATGGGAGAGCAAAGGGTTGCTGCGGTAGCAGAAAAACACTTCATTGATGCCTTGCATAGAGAATGTATTAATTAAGATGATACTAAAAAGTTGTATGTTAAAAAACTGATCAACGACCTACTTAAAGTTTTTTTTTTTTTTTTTAATAAGCCTATATTACGCAATATTAAGCTAACAGACAATGATTCATGCTACAAGAGTGAAAAAACAACTGTTTTTTTTTTTTTTTTTTTTTTCTCTAAACATTTTTCCTGATGAAGGCAACCATATAAATAATATCTAAGTAAATATTGAATGTATTCATTATTAATTCATCCCAGTTACTCTTTTTGTGACAGTAAGTCAAGAACCATGGTTTTTGTTCGTAGTGTTACACATGTATTTTTGATTTTGTTTCAGAGAAGAGAAACACCTTTATTACTTTAGCTCAAAAGCTTAGTTAACAAATGTTTATTACAGCTATTACAATTACAAACTTTAGTAAACTCAGTAACTATGGTCAAGTAAACCAGTAAACCATAGTTAGGCTAACTAACCACATCATTTAACAACTAACCAACTGAATTCTAACTAACTAAAAACTAATTAAACCAAATTAATTAACTAATTACAATTACATTAATAATCCAAGATGTATGACTCAATCAATTGATATATATATATATATATATATAGTGGTTTTGTCCTCTATATTAAAACTCGAACCAAACCGGTCGGTTGGACCAGTTCGACCGAGACTCGACAGCTTCTCCGGTCTGGTTCAGGGTTTAGGAGGGTATTGTAATATTTCAAATTTATAGGGACTAATTTGTTATTTTTAAGAGTGTTTTGGAGATATAAAATTTTTAGGGATCAATTGGTAATTTTTTGGGGGTATTTTTGAAATAAATAAAAAATTTAGGGACTAATTAAAATTTTTGAGGGATATTTTTGTAATATACTAAAATTTAAGGGATTAATAGAACTTTTAAAAAATTAAATTATTGTTGACGTCACCGGTTGGTTGGACCGGTTGACCCATGACCCGGGCAGCAAAACGAGTTATCCTCCCGTCCGGGTTTTAAAACAATAGTTTGGTCTAACTGCTTTCTAATTAATGGTATTAAAAATTAAAATACAAAAATGAAAAGAACTAATAAATGGTGAGATATCAAGTTTTCATTTAAATTTGTTCCTTTTTTTTTAAATATAAACTCTTCTCTCACATACGACTCACTGTTTCCGTCTTCTTCTTCACAACTTATTACGAAAATTATGCTGGTTATTGCAGGGCTGACGACTGGTTAATTTTATCTGAACAAAATCATCACATCTGATTCATGTTTTCAGTTACCTTGGACTTGTGTTTATTGGGCATGTAAGTATGTGTGGTTTGATTGTCACAAGTAATTGGGTTTTAAAGATCAGTTGGAACGGACGAAGCTCGTTAGTTTTAAAGATCAATTTTCAATTTTGATTTTTTAAATGATTAAGACTGTCCTTGTTTTTAAAATATGGAAACACAATACTTGCCATAATAATATTAAAAACCCAATGAAGAATTTTGTCAGAAATTAAAACAAGTAGGACTCTGGGAGCCTAATAATTTGAAAGCAACTAAGATTTATCTGTGCAAGAGTCCGCCACTTATACAGTGACAGTCGAATTATTGCTTTTACAATTTGATGAAAACAGAAGCACTTAGGCTGATCGCATTACTGTACACATTTATCATATTTCCTGAAGTTGATGGACATAATGTAGAAATGCAGCTGGTAAAACTGGTTATGGCGACTATTAATAATTGTCAACTAATATTGTTGGCTAGTGCTTCTCTTAAAAGCATCATTAATTGATGTCGGACGGACTTTTATTTTTTGATAAGTTACTACTTATTAGCACTACTGCTGTTAAAGAAAACATATGAGGATAAACGATTTCCACACAAGTATCTATTTACTTATTTTTTGACAAAAACCAATTACTTTGGAGAATATATATAATTAATTAATTAATGCTTGATGAGCATATTAAAGTTCGATGTTAGAAATTACTTTGTAGGCATGCATACCATTGGTTTATATATTGGGGCATATGACTTATAGACATTAATGTAAAGCAGTGCTTGATTGACTTTAACGAGTTGGCATCTCCCAAATTCTCTTTGAAAATCAAACATTAACGGCAAGATGTGAAGCAACGTAAGTGAACGAGGGATGTGAGGCTGACCTTTTCCTCGCCCTGACAAATTGGGAATAGATTTCGTGTGCTATAACAATCGAAAGAAACAAATAAATGCAGTAACGGTTGGCGCTTGGTGGTGAACATGTGGAAATGGGTTGTTGGTCTTTCTTTGAACCGCGTTATCCCCATAAATGCAATACGACTTTTTTCTGTTCAAGTTGTTCTTGGTCATGTGGCCTTCAATAATATTTTTATACGTGCTCCTACCAAATTGAACAGTTACAAGTTGTGGTTGACAAACGAAAAGATAGATTTTTTGAGTGTATAATAGATGATTAACACAACAAACTGTTTAAATGCATTCGTATCAACTTGGGACTCTTATTATTATATATATGGAGTCACAAGTATTCACTACTCAAAGAAAGAAAAATTAGAAATGGAGCTGAGAGAACCTGTAAGTCCTACTGGTCAATACTTGAACAGCTCAGCTCTTTCGCTTAGTGTTTATGCTTTTCTGGAATTTGAAGTGCCAATTGATGATTTACCATTTATGCCGTTGATCAAGGATGTGTTTCTCTCCATCAACTCACGTTTCTCCTCCATCATGGTAATACGCCACTGATTTGCTACTGAAATTAATTGTTCTATTGCGTGCCATTATATATATTCAAGCACTTGTCCTTCATATATCATATAAATTACTTGTTATTATGGTATTATATCAGCTTATTATGTATTATATATGATAATTTATCAACAGATTGCAGATAAAAAAGGAGAGAAACAATGGAAGCGGGTTGAAGTGAAGATCACAGACCACGTAAACGTGCCCATTTTCCCCTCTGGACTTTCACCGGAATCTTATGATAAACATCTTGATGACTATTTCGCCAAAATAGTAATGGAAGAGCTTCCGAAATCCCGACCTTTATGGGAAATCCATATAATCAAATACCCTACCAGCAGCGCGGCCGGTGTTATAATATTCAAGCTCCACCATGCCCTTGGTGATGGCTTCTCTTTAATAGGAGCCCTTCTTTCATGTTTACAGAGGGCTGATAATCCTTCTCTTCCATTGACATTGCCTTCTGTTCAGTTAACCTCCAACAGGAATGGTGACTGTAATCACAAAATATTGAGGAGTGTGCCAAAGATTTTTTCTTTGGTTTCTAAGACTGTAACAGATTTTTGTTGGAGCATATTCAAAAGTACTCTGGTTGAAGATGATCAAACTCCGTTACGATCTGGTGACGTTGGAGTTGAGTTTCGGCCAATCGCCATAGCAGCAATGACTTTCTCTCTTGATCGCATCAAGCAGATTAAGGCCAACAATGGAGCGGTATGGTTCGGTTCTTGCTGCATAAACTAGCTAAACAAAATATCATTTTAATTAATAATAATTTAATTAAAAATATCTTAATCAGATAGGAGTAACGGTCAACATGAATTCTTATCATAGTCGTAGTAATGGTCAGCATGAAAATCTTAAATAAGCGTTCAAATGAGTGGAAATTTGGACAGCGATATTCCATAAATCGATCATCATTTTTTTTTTTTTTTTTTGAAATGTTTCACTTTGAATAATGATATAATTTAAGTAACACTTAAATTATAAAAAAGTATGCTGAAAGTTGACTTGCTTACCTATCAACAACTTAAGTTTATAATATTTTGGATAGTTGGAAGTTGCTTACTAATTAACTTTTTCAACAACTTAATAAAATGTTATTCAGCTAGGGGCCTAACGAGTAAAGATTACTGCAACCTACTAAGTGGGGGAATCATAAGTTATGGGTTGAGGGAGTGATGTGGCATTGAAACCTACGATTGGTTGTGTTCCCATTCCAGCCGTAACTCTAAATGTTAAACTTCCATTAAGTCATGCATGAAGGTCTTGTCTATTTCGGAAAAACGGCCTATGAATTTATGAATAAAGTAAAGAAGGAACAATAATGCAATTCAAATTAATTACTCGAGCTGTTTAATTTTCTTCCTGTGTTTATGATATTTTTAGTTTTTCAATGAATTTTCTCTCACTGATATTATTACAGACGATTAACGATGTCGCTGTGGGAATAATCTTCTTGGGAATGCGGTTATATATGCAAGAAATGAGCCAGGACTCGTGCAAAGCGCAGACTACCGCGCTGGTGCTGCTTAATACCAGGGTGTTTCGAAGTTACGAGTCAGTGAAGGAAATGGCTAAGCCTAGCGCCAAGACGCCATGGGGGAATCGTTTTGCCTTCTTACATGTACCTATACCTCAGTTAACTGATGCTATATCTTCAAATCCATTGGAATTTGTCTCCAAAACACAGCAAGTTATGAATGACAAGAAAAGCTCCCTAGCTGTTTTCCTCACTGGTCAACTTCTGGAGTTTTTAAAGAAATTTAGAGGCCCTGAGGTACGTCTAAACATATATAATGAGTTTCCAGTGTTCTAAATAATCATATATTTGAAATTTTTTCAATCATTTATAACAAGAAATTATTAAAAGTATAACAAGTAAGTAGGCACCGGAAGATGTACACTAATTTTGAAGGAATATTGTTTCTTGGGCATATTTTGTGCTACAGGCAGCTGCTAGATATATTCATACCACTTTAAAGAACTCGACAGTGGGAATCTCAAACCTCATCGGTCCAACGGAAAAGATGGCTTTGGCTAATCATCCGGTTAAAGGTTTGTACTTCACGGTGGCTGGTGCACCTCAGGTACTTATTTTTCATTAATTTACCAGTATAATTAGCCACTTTAATTTGGCTGTCGTCTTCTTTATCATCTTGGAAGTAACGTGCTTCAGTGGATTGGATTAATTACAGAGTCTTTGCATAACAATAGTAAGTTATATGGGAAAGCTTCGGGTTGCTGTGGGAGCAGAAAAAGGATTCGTCGATGCCCACAAGTTGAAGTCTTGCATAGAAAATGCTTTTCAGATGATACATACAGCCGCCTGTGGAATTACTCCTCAACAAGCAAGAGCATGACACAAAGTGCTTTTTAATTATGAATAGTTTCAAACTAAAGTATTATGGAGATTAAACGGTGCTCGGTGGTTTTGCTTAAATACTAATACGCATGAATAATGTTTCCTTCTATTTTTTTTTTATTTTTTTTTTATTTTTTTTTTTTTTGGATGTTTCTGGGAATATTATACACAAGTATGAAAAATAATATAATACTTACAAAAATTATATCCAAAGTTTTTCATACAAAATAAGGTATCAAAATATGATTGAATGAATTAATATAAAAATCATTCACTATTATTTAATATATATTTATTAAATTAATTTTTATATTAATTCATCAGATCAAATTTTGGTATGTCACTTTAAATGAATTACTTTTGGAGTCTTTTAAGTGTATTATTATTCATGTATAAAATAGATAGTGGTTTTGTGTGTTTAATTATAAGAGCCTTATTCTTGTTTTACTTTGATGGTTTTCGTAAGTGTTCTGAATTATTCTAGAAATTAGAATAAATAATCGATCCATTCTTCTCTTATGTGCATTATCTTAAAAATAAGCTTCCTGATCCGTTAAAGTACGGGGTTTATTCGAAGAAAGCTGTCATTTATTATCAATTCCTCATTAATACGATAGAATAATTATGATATAATATCTAAAATTAAGACTTTGTAAGAGAAAAGATCCCAACTGTGATTTGCGAATTTATTAATTTGTTGAGTGAGGTGACAACGATATTGTATATATCATCGAGTCTCTTCTATAAAAGATAAAATAAAGAAGTGCTATTATGTATCACTTCGAAAGAAACAAAACGGTAACACGTATGATAGAACCAAACTAAAAATAAGGCTGACAATCAGCCTGGTGAAACTTAAATCAATGATGGGTCATGGGTCCTAACTAGGTGTGCCCCCCTTGTTAATACACCATCAAGTTGTGTGCCCCCCTTATTATTACACCATCAAGTAGGTGCTTGTCACATCGTCACATAATGACTCACGTCAAAACAAAATATAATTGAAGAAATTATTAATAATCTCTTTGATATAATAGCATGTTTGTGAATGAAATTGGACAAGTCGATCTATTTTTTAAGTACTTTTACTAGATAATACAATCATAAACCAACTTCAAATCTATGCAATCAACAGAAAAGCTCTTTAGCTGTTTATCTCACTGCACAACTTCTCAAGATATAAGTTGGTGCTTTTTGTTATTATTGCTTTTGGTGCCATCAGCAGCAGCTGGATTTATTTAAGGCAGTTTAAAGAACACAAGTATGCGAATCTCAAATCTCATCGGTCCAATGGAGCAAATGGCTTGTATTTCATGGTGGTTGGTGCACCTAATGTAAATCCAAGATTTTGTAAACATGTTTGCATACACAGGTGCTTTTGCTTTTCCTATATTAAATAATTGTGATCACCTTGGTTTAATTTATATAATGACCACTAGTTGAGCCATCTCCCACGTAATTTCATTCTTATATATGGAAATTGTTAATCTTCAATCAAACACAAATTTAACCTGTTCATCTATCAAACACAAACAACACACAGATCCATTACACAAATCAACCAAGAACAAGAAAAAAAACATAAAGAAGACAGCCAAGATTTACCGTGGTTTGTTTATTCCAATGGAATAAACTACATCCACGTTGAGCTCAAAGTAATTTGAGACTGTTTGCACTATAAGGATTGAATTCGTTACAGATTACAACAAGAAATCTCAATAACACCCAAATCTCTACTCTCACACAACCCCTCAATCTACCTGTAATCAACACAACCAAGACAACTTAAACAAGCATCTAAACCAAAAGAATATACAATTTCTTCTACCCACAATTCTAAGAAAAACTGTGACTTGATTACAACTTGAAGGAAACAAATTAAGCACCCAGCACTTGACGAAAACGCGAGAGAGAGAGTGAGTTTTCAATTTGATTTTTGCAGTGAATTTTAGCTTTAAATAAGTTGACCATTTATGCTAGTTTCCACCATTGGATTAGGCTGAGATTAATGGCTGAAATTTGTCACTTAACACCTTCTTAAAACGTCAGCGTATTGGAGCTTCACTTAACAAACTCCACCTTGAAGCTTCAACACATTACCGGATCAGATACCTTATCAGTGCAGTTCATCCACAAATTACTCATCATAGCTCTATTGCTGCAACTTACTCAACATGCAGCAGGTTCAAGCAGTACTTGAACTTGGTTGGAGACACCACTTTGGTTCCCATATCTGCAGGATTGTTCTCAATTGGCACCTTTTTCAGAATGATTACCCCTTTGTCCACCAGCTCCCTCACAAAATGGTATTTAACATCAACATGTTTGGTCCTCTCGTGATATACAGGATTCTTGCTCAAATGTATGGCACTCTAGCTGTCAGAATAGACAGTGACAACACCCTCCAATAGTTTAACTTCTGATAGTAGCCCTTGGAGCCAGAGAGCTTTTTTGAAAACATCTATCACAGCCACATGCTTTGCCTCAGTTGTGGATAGAGCAACGATTGGCTGAAGCTGGGACTTCCAGCTGACACTGTTTCCAACCAAGGTGAACACGTATGCAGTGGTTAATTTCCTTGAATCTTTGTCACCTGCAAAGTCAGAATCTACAAATCCTACAAGATCAAGTGAGTCATATCTTTTTCCATATTCCAAGCCAACATGCACATAACTATTAATGTATCTAAGAAGCCATTTAAGAGCAAGCCAATGTTCAAAACCAGGATTTGACATGAATCTACTTAAGAGTGAAATTGCAAAGGAAAGGTTTGGTCTGGTGCTTATCATGGCATACATTACTGACCTAATTACATTTGCATAAAGGATATTTTCCATTTTTATTAAATCCGCATCAGATTTGGGGCATTGTGATTTACTTAACATAAAGTGACCAGCCAAGGGTACATTCACAGTTTTAGATCCTGCCATGCCAAACCTAGACACTAATTTTTCCAGGTAAGCCTTTTGATGGACTTTTAACTTATAGGCCTTTCTTTTTCTATTTATTACCATGCCTAGAATCCGTTTAGCACTTCCTAAATCCTTCATGTCAAATTCATAGTTCGATTTTTTCTTTAACTCTTCTATCCTAGGCTTAGACTTGCAAATTAAAAGCATGTCATCAACATACAATAGTAAATATAAAGGCATGTCATCATATAAAGCATAATAGAAACAACTATCATATTTGCTTCTATTGAAGCCAATGCTAAGAATAAAAGCATCAAAACGCTTATGCCACTGCCTAGGGGACTGTTTCAGTCCATATAAGGATTTGTGAAGTAGGCATACATGGTTGGGTACGTTTCTATCTACAAAACCTATGGGTTGTCTCATGTAGATCCTTTCTTCTAAGTTCCCATGCAAGAATGGGGTCTTAACGTCCAGTTGTTTTAATTCTAAATCTTTATGGGCAACTACGACTAACATGATCCTAATGGTCTTGTATTTCACAACGGGGGAGAATATCTCATTAAAGTCTATTCCCTCCCGCTGTGTGTATCCTTTGGCTACCAACCTAGCCTTATACCTAAGAGGGTCAGAAGAGTTCATACCTTCTTTAAGCTTGAATAACCACCTGCATTCAATCAATTTCTAGTCTTTGGGATTTGGAACCAAAGACCAGGTTCCATTTACCTTTAGGGACAACATCTCTTCCTCCATTGCAGCTTCCCATTTTTCTTTGTCTTTGGATCTGACTGCTTCTTCATAGCAATCTAGTTCTGTTCTCTGGACTTGAGCCCTTGCCACTAGGGCTGTGTAAATCAAATCAGCGTAGGAGTATCTTGTTGATGACCTGATTTCTCTCCTACTTCTATCCTTGGCTAGTTGGGACTAGGCTAAGGGATCAGAATGGGGTTCGGCTGGTTTTATAGCATTTTCCTCTTCCAACTCAGGGTCCAAATCTGGCTCATTAATTTTAGCTTCCTGTTGCTCCAAATCAAGTTATGTTGCAGTAGGCTCCACATCAATTTGGACTCTCTCAGGTTGATCCTGATTCATAGATTTGCTACTAGTTGAACTTGTGTCAGAGTTAGTAGTTTTGTAAGGAAATTCATTCTCATTGAAAATAACATCCCCACTGATTATTATTCTAACTATAGGGGCACTCCTCTCCTAAAGCCTATACCCTTTGGTTCCCTCTTGATAACCTAAGAAGACACACCTAAGGGATCTAGGATCTAACTTCCTTTTACTGTTATGGACATAAGCAACACATCCAAAGGTCCTCAAGTGTCCTAGGCTAGGTTTCCTATTACTCCACTTTTCCTTTGGACACATAAAACTGATGGCACTTAAGGGACTTCTGTTAATAAGGTAGACAACTGTGTTAAGGGCTTCTCCCCAAAAGGACTTAGGAAGGTTGGATGTGAAGAGAAGGCATCTCACCTTCTCTAGGGGGGTCTTGTTCATTCTTTCAGCAACCCCATTCTGCTGAGGGGTTTCCTAATAATTCTATGTCTTAGGATGCCATGTTCAGTGCAATAGGAGTCAAATTGCAGGTTACAGAACTCTAAGCCATTGTCTGTCCTAAGGGTTTTAACCTTTTTGTCAGTTTGGTTCTCTACAAGAACCTTCCAACTCTTAAACCTACCCAAAGCTTTATCCTTAGTCCTAAGTAAGAAAACCCACACCTTTCTATTGTAATCATCTACTATGGACAGAAGATAACTACTACCCCCATGTGATTTGACCTTTTCAAGTCCCCACAAGTCAGCATGCAAATATTCTAAGCAGTTGGCAGCCAGGTGAGTTCCCTTTTGGAAACTCAGCCTGTGTTGCTTGCCCATGATACAGGTCTCACAAAAATCAAGGGGTTCAATGGGGTCCTTACCAAATAGGCCCTGCTTATGGAGGATGTCCAGGCCCTTTTTGGCTCATATGGCCTAGTCTTAAGTGCCATTTTTCAGTAGCATTCAGGTTAGTAGAAAGCAAAGCAAAATTTAAACAATCAGAATAGTAGGATCCACACATAATATACAAACCATTCTTTTTATCCCTTTAAGCAAAACACTGTTATTTTTATAGACATAAAGGCAACCATTTTCAACTTGATAACTACAACCAGATTCATCTAAAATACCTAATGAAATTAGGTTTCTTTTTAATTCTGGAATATACCTCACTTTAGTCAACTTGACAGTTTTCGCATTGTTTAGTTTTAAGGTTATGTTGCCTATCCCTTCAACTTTACAGGCATTATTATTCCCTATATACACAGTTTCTAACCTATTCTCCTCATAGTCTTGAAACCAATCTTTATTGGGACTCATATGAAATGAGCACACAGAATCCATCACCCGATCATTTATCTTTTCAGTTTTGGAAACTGTTAGAACTTCATATTCTTCTATATTAGACTTAGAGGTTGCTAGGTTACTTTCAGTGTTCCTTTGTTTCTGTTTCTTAAGCCATGCATAGCAGTTCCTTTTTAGATGACCAGTTTTGTTACAAAAGAAACACTTCCTGGTTTCTCCCTTTGTTTTACAGTTCAATGTTCCCTTTTTCTTGTTCCTAGGGCCACTATCAGACTGAACAAAGTTGCCTAACTGGTTTAGTTCACCCTTTCCCTTAACAAACAGATTGCTACCAGTTCTCCTTTGCACCTTAATCTCTAACTCTTTAGCTTTTAATCTTGAAACTATTAAGTCCACGTTTGGGACAGTACCAGTGTATTGTAGGGCATTTTTTACAACCTGGTAATCCTCGGTCAGGGAATTCAATAAAATCATAGCTAAACTAGAGTCCCCGAGTTCTTGATCTGTACCCTTCAACACTTGGGTCAGTTTCAAGAACTCATCAATATTTTCATCAATGGTCTTAGAGCTATCCATTTTATATGCAAATGAAACACCTTTTAAGTAAGCTAGATTTGGAGCAGACTGTAAAGCATAAAGGGATTTGAGTTTACCCCATACCGTTGTCGGAGTTTCAAAACCGTCTACCTTTCGTAGGACCCCGTCGGAGAGGTTCATAATGATCAGGTTGTATGCCTCCTCCTCCAGCTCTACTTTCTTTTTCAGTTTCTCCTCTGACCATTTGGTTACATCATTTTCCAGTGCAATGGCTACCTTATTATGTGATAATAAGGCTTTCATTTTTTTCTTCCAACTATTGAAATCAATTTTCCCATCGAATTGGTTGATTTCAACTTGTGTAGTAGTCATAGTGTTTGGATTTAGGGTTGGTGTTTGAATTTAGGGTTGACACAGAAGAAACCCTAATTTGTCTAAGATCGAGTTCGAACTAATTTCAAGAAATTGACCGGATAATCTAAGGTTTTCCAAGCCCTAAGACACCAACTTGACTGATTATAAAGAAACCCCCAATTTGTGTAAACCCTAGGTTTCAAGAATCACTCAAATCAGACTGAAAAAACCCTAATCTTGCTCTGATACCACTGTTAATCTTCAATCAAACACAAACCTAACTTGTTCATCTATCAAACACAAACAACACACAGATCCACTGCACAAATCAACCAAGAACAAGGAAAAAAGAAAAAACATAAAGAAGACAGCCAAGATTTACCGTGGTTCGTTTATTCCAATGGAATAAACTACATCCACGTTGAGCTCAAAGTAATTTGAGACTCTCTGCACTATAGGGATTGAATTCGTTACAGATTACAACAAGAAATCTCAACAACCCCCAAATCTCTACTCTCACACAACCCTTCAATCTACCCGTAATCAACACAACCAAGACAACTTAAACAAGCATCTAACCAAAAGAATATACAGCTTCTTCTACCCACAATTCTAAGAAAAACTGTGACTTGATTACAACTTGAAGGAAACAAACTAAGCACCCAGCACTTGACGAAAACGCGAGAGAGAGAGTGAGTTTTCAATCTGATTTCTACAGTGAATTTCAGCTTTAAATAAGTTGACCATTTAGGCTAGTTTCCATCGTTGGATTAGGCTAAGATTAATGGTTGAAATTTGTCACTTAACACCTTCTTAAAACGTCAGCGTATTGGAGCTTTACTTAACAGAAATTTTCGTCAAGTTCATGTAAAGAAGTACTTCTAATTAAATGCTAAGACCACGTAAGGTCATAATTTTAACCTATGATTTAATTTGATGGGATTGCCTTTTGCCAAGCCTTTCCATAACAATATATAGTAAGTTATATTAGGAAAGCTAATATATGTGGCTAATTTGGATCATCTCCCACAAAAATATTTGGGATGATCATCCAAGGGGGCCGAAGATGGGGGTATTTAATGCTACCCCATCCCCTTCCCCGCACACTGTAGTAGTTTATTATTTTATTTTTAAAATAGTTTTCTTTTTGTAAACTAAATTAATTAGTAGAGAATATGTCTTTATTAGAGCATCTCTAATGATACTCTTTATTTTAAAGAGTATCTTCGTTACTTTTTAAATATAAAAAACAAATTTTTTATTAAAATCTAATTGACTCTTTAAATTTTCAAGAAAGAGAGTTAATGGGAGAGGGAATTAATAAATAAAATGCATAAAAACTTGTAATTTATTAATTAAAATTAGAATAAAGAGTAAAACTTGACTCTCTAGATGTGAAGAGTCAAACTCACTGTTTAATTTATATTTAAAGAATAAAAAGTTGTTGTACTCTTATTTTTATGGATAGGTCATATAAAGAGTTATGTGAAGATATTTTTAGGCTATTTATTATAGTGACATGGATAGAAAATTTTGAACACATTTACATCAATTGGGGCGATGATCAGAAACCGATTGGCAATTGCTGGTCCTTTGAGTATGTTAACCACATCCACATGAATGTGGCACATGCGGAATATCACCCAAACCGACCAGTCAGAATGCCCATACTGCTCTTTAATCTGTGCTCAATCCACGTACTTTTAAATTTTAATTCAAATCCCTCTACCCATATAATATAGGTATATCGGATCATTATTTTCCATTTATTTAACATAAGAAAAAAGTCTTAGCAAATTACCAATAATATTTTGTTGACGGTGCTCTTTTAACGTTGTTGAGAACTTTTCATAGTTTCATTATAAAGAAGATCTGAAGATGAATGCGATGTTCAATTTTCAATTAATGCAACAGTAAAACGAAAGCTCTATCATTTATATAAGCATCAAAGAGAGCATAAGAGGAACAGGGAAACATTGAGCGATGTAATTCCGTCCGTAATGAAATTCCCTATAAATTATCAGAAATCTTCTTTGCAATTAGTGAGAGAAAACTTGTGGATATCAAATTTCATTAATTTTTTTAATTTTACTTTTTAATACCATTAGCAAGCAATTAGATAAAACAACTATGTATATTACAATGGAAAGTGATAAATTCATAAATCTGTCTATTAATTAACTCATATACTTGTATAAAATTTGTAAGTATTTTTGTCAAATTATAAATTCAGTGTGGTGACATTGATTTTTTATGTCGTGACATCAATTTGTTAATGCACAATCGTTTTATTGTTATCTGGTGTCATAACACTATGTGTCCGTGTGATGTCACTTGTCCAGCTAGATTTTGTATACACATGTTGCGTCTCCGTTTGATGTTAAGATTTTATTCTTATTTGAGACATGTGTAATAGTCCTAGTACACTTTTAATTAGCTCATTAGGTGAATCATTTTGCTTTATTGTAGTCCATAAAAAGTTTGGTGAAAACTTTCCCAAAATAGCTAAACACAAAAAAGGTTGTCTGTTGGCTGTCCCCTTGCATTGGTGCGCAAGTTTCTTTATATCGTCTTCTCCAATACATTTTATTTCAAGCCTGAATGTACCTCTGAAAGTTCTCTGCATATTCTTTGTGATTTCTTTTGTTTTGAGTTAGGTTTCATATGCTTAGGTAGGCTTATAAATACCTTGTTTATCCCTATTTGAGTGTTGTTCAAACTTGGTTTCTTTGATGATGATGATGTTGGAACGTGAGTTTTCATTGATAATGTTTGATGGGATTTCAAGCTATTGAAGCTGAAGTGCATCTTCAGTGTTGAACTTTGAGATGAGCTCAAGGGTGACTAGGTGGTTTCGTGGAGTGAAGCTAGCTAGCGTGACAGTTTGAAGTTCAATCAAAAGGTGAAGTTTGAAGTGTTGATGTAACAGAGACAGTTTTGCAATGGATGTTTAACTTTGACTTTGTAATTTAACTATAAAGTTTACCATAGTAATTAGTTTCATCTAGACGTGGTCCCATGGATGTAAGCAGATTACAGAACCATGTAAAAATGTGTTGTGTGTTTTACTTTTTGTCTTATATCAATGCATTGTTTATATTGATGTTAAATAAGACCACAAAAAACACAAATGAACATGTAAACCCCTTAAGTTTAATCAACTTGGTAAAGTGATTAAAACTTTCAAAACTAATAACACAAACCGCAATTCTTGACTTTTAAATGCCCCTAAAAACTGCATCTTGCACAAAAGGAGTAATTGGGACGAATAAATATTGAAAACTATTCATATTATTTACTGAGATATTATTGTTTGCCTTGATCACGAAAAAAAAAAACATTTGAGTATTGATACTTATTCCATGAATCATCGTATAATTAGCTTAGATTAAATAATTGCGTATAAGCTTATTTAAAAGCACTTTTAACTAGGACGTTACCTCATTCTGTTGACTGTTGATCAATTTTTTGACATACAACTTCGAGCATCATCTGAAATGCTTTCTCTATGCAAGACTTCAACCTCTTGGCATCAATGAAGCCTTTTTCTGCTCCAACAGCAACCCTTAGCACTCCCATATAACTCACTATTGCTATGCAAATACTCTGCAACTCATCCCATCCAATATTTTCTTGACATACTAATAATACAATAATAGGAGAAAATTTTTCTTAATAACTAGGCCGCATGCATGAAAATATTAATTCTAAGATGCTTAAGGCAGTAGCAATTGATTAATTATGGTTGTAAAAGAAAAGATTTAAAGTACCTGAGGTGCACCAACCACCGTGAAGTAAAGACCTTTAACAGGATGATTAGCCAAAGACATTTTTTCCTTTGGCCCGATGAGGTTTGTGATTCCCATACTCGAGTTCTTTAAGGTGCCATGAATATATTTAGCTACTGCCTGTGGCAATCAACATCCACATGTTTGGATTAAAGACATTCAAAAACATTTAACAAAATATGATTAATTACTAATTAATTGAACACCGACAGCTCATAATTATAATGCCACCTAATTGTGCAATAATAAATACGCACCTCTGGGCCTCTAAATTTCTTCAAAATCTCCAGAAGCTGACCAGTGAGGTAAACAGCTAAAGAGCTTTTCTTGTCATTAATAATCTGTTGTGCTCTAAAGACAAATTCCAGTGGATTTGAAGATGAAGCATCAGTTAACGGAGGTATGGATACATGCAAGAAGGCAAAATGATTCCCCCAAGGGGTCTTGGCATTAGGTTCAACCATATCTTTTACTGGTTTGTAGCTTCGTAAAACCCTGGTATTGAGCAACACAAGTGCTGTAGATTGTGCCTTGCTCGACTCCTTACTCATTTCTTGCATGTATAACCGAGTCCCCAAGAAGATTGTTCCCGTAATCACGTCATTAAGAGTCTGTCACCAGTCATCATCAAGATTTGTAATCACTTGAAGTGAGATTTTTCGGATTTCATACTAAAATCAGAATGGTTATTAATTGGGAGGAATATTCTACATGGGAGACTCATCAATATTTAAAAAAAGAGCATACATGGCTTTCTGGTTGGAGAATATGCAATCCCAATCAAAAGTAGTTGCATGATATTAAAACGGAATATGTCTTTTAATGAAAATAGATAAAATGTTTCATCTTATAATAAAAAAGAAATTATATTATTTATAACAAGGAGATCATATTAGTACATAATTTTTTATCCTATAATAAAGAAGTATATGTAACATTAATTGTATAAAACATATAAAGAACTAATTCTAATTGGAGACATTTAATGGGCACTTACCCAATCTCTCCTGCCAACAGTAGCATAATAGTCCCTGGCTCTCAATCTATGAAATAGTGTAATAGACTGAAGATTATTGATGAAAATGGTGAAAAGATACGAGCAAAGAAAACAAAGAAAACACGTGATATCAAGAAAAGCTGAAAAAGATGAAAAGTGTGTATTTTCTGTATGAAGTTAATTACATGTCAGTACAGCTGTTATTATATAACATATCAAAAACGCACCGTATTAAGAAACATTTTAATTCTTACAAACACACCCCCACTCTATTATACTTAATATTCTCTCTTAAACTGAGCTCTCTCAATATCCGAAAACATTCCAAACCTAACACTACACCCTTACTCTACTATACTCAATATTCCCTCTTAAACTAAGCTCTCTCTCAATCACTGAAAAACTTTTCTACCAAAAAAAAAAAAAAACACTGTACATAAGAACATCACATCTGCACTGCTACGTTCCATAAGAAAGTCCAACAGCAACTCGTGACGAACTGGTTGCTACAAGCAGCTCGTCTCATGCAAATGCAACAGCTCGTCTCAAACTGGAAGCAGCTCATGGCGAATTGGTTGCTACAAGCAGCTCGTCTCATGCAAATGCAGCAGCTCATGACGAACTGGTTGCTACAAGCAGCTCGTCTCATGCAAATGCAACAGCTCGTGGCGAACTGGAAGCAGCTCGTGGCGAATTGGTTGCTACAAGCAGCTCGTCTCATGCAAATGCAACAGCTCGTGACGAACTGGTTGCTACAAGCAGCTCATCTCATGCAAAAGCAGCAGTTCGAACACCCACATTCTTTACGACGTATTTTCACGTCTGCATACTCCACACATTCTTTACGACGTATTTTCACGTCTGCATACTCCATTGCTTTTACTACTGCATATACATGAATATCGTCACTTTCATCATGTGCTAACACCATTTGCTTCAACATAATTACTTGATGATAGTTCCGACACAACATTAAGTTTTTCCTTCAGCATGTTAAATCTGGCAACAGGCAAAGCTTTGGTGAGCAAGTCTGCTTTTTGATATTCAGAAGCTACATATTGAACATGTAGGACCTTTTTCATAACCAACCCTCTAACAAAGTGCACATCAATCTCAATGTGCTTCGTCCTGGCATGGAAAACTGGGTTGGAAGAGAGTGCTCCTGTGCTCATGTTATCACACCAAATAACTGGCACATTCTGAACGTGAATTCCCAGCTCTTTAAATAGATTCTGAATCCATACTAACTCAGTGGTTTTTGACTAAGGGATCTATACTCAGCTTCAGTAGATGATAAGGATACAACCTTCTGTTTTCTAGAGGACCACTGTACTAAATTCCCACCAAGAAAGATAGCATAGCCACTGGTAGACTTCCTGTCTGTAACATCTCCAGCCCAGTCAGCGTCTACAAAAGCTTCTAAGGTGAGAGATCTGTGTTTGTTAAAGATCAAGCCATGATGAAGAGTGCCATTTACATATCTGAGAATTCATTTACAGGTTGTCCAGTGTGTTTCTGTAGGCTGTTGCAAGAATTGGCTAAGTTTATTAACTGCAAACGCCAAGTCAGGCTTGGACAATGTTAAATATTGCAAACCACCAATAATACTTCTATACAGAGTAGGTTGATCAAACACCTTACTCTCTTCTTTTCCAAGTTTCAAACCAATAGCCATAGGAGTGGTACATGGTTTTGAATCTGCCATACCTACTTTGACAAGTAAATCCTGAGCATACTTGGTCTGTGTGAGTAGTAATCCAGTATCACTACGCTGCACTTCAAAAGCAAGAAAATATTGTACTTCACCAAGATTTTTGAGCGAAAATCTGCTATTTAAATCATCTACTAACTAAGATATAAGCAAGTTATCATTCCCTGTGACAAGAATGTCATCCACGTAAACCAGAAAATACATCACCTTAGAGTCACATTTATAGTAGACCAAGCTTACATCGGACACAGAATTTTCAAAACCCTATTCAAGTAATGCAGTCTTCAGTTTATCAAACCATGCACGAGGGGCTTGCTTGAGCCCATACAAGGCCTTATTTAACCGACATACTTGTTGTAACCTCTTTCGTTGAGAAACATCATAATAACCTTCCGGAGGAACCATAAACATAGTCTCTGTTAAGTCTCCGTTCAAGAACACATTATTCACGTCCAACTGTTGAATTTTCCAATTGTGATGAACAGCCAAGGATAGCATTATTCGAATGGTAGCTGCTTTGATGACTAGTGAGAAGGTATCAAAGTAATCCAGGCCAAGTGTTTGTTGGAAGCCTTTGGCAACCAGCCTGGCTTTATATTTCTGCAGGGAGCCATCTGAATTCAACTTTGTTTTAAACACCCATTTGCTTCCAACAATATTCATCCCATCTTCATAAGGAACAAGATCCCATGTGTTGTTCTTTAACAAGGCTTGATACTTAACATCCATAGCTTGCTTCCATTCAGGACTAAGCAAGGCTTCAGTCACAGTTTTCAATTTTGAGAGAATATTATTCGTTGTCAGAAAAGCTCTTGGCCGAAGTGAACCAGTTTTTGACCCAGTTATCATAGGGTGAGTGTTGAGAGTTGAGTCATGAGATCCTGGGTTCGAAGAATAGGGAAGTACAACTTCCAACTGAATTCCTAGATGGTCTGAAGCTGGAGGAGAAGCCAAAAGAGAGGAGCTGGGCAGGCACTCTATGCATGGATCATTTTGAGAATCTGTATTCATACCAGATGACTCTTGTGCAGACAGAGGTGACAAACAAGAGTGACCAGTAGCCATGGAGATTAGATTATCCACTAGTGCTTGGTGTATAGATGTATTAGTAGTCACAGGAGGTGTCTTTGATTGACTAGGAGATAACAATGGTGCATGATCAGAAACGCCATTAGTATGGGACAAACTAGCACCTGAGTTCAAAACAGAGTAAAGGTCAGTAGAACAAAAATCAGTATCCTTTGAAACAGATTTTGGAAGAGGCCACGAAGATGCAGGGGAGTTGTTACAACTTTCACTCGAATACGTGGAGTTCTTTAAAGAAATATGCTGATTAAAACCAGATTTGAATAGAAAATCAGTCTTATGAAACTTCACTTGTTTAACGATATAGACTCTTCCAGTAGAAGAAAGACACAAGTAACCTTTGTGAGAGAGGCTATACCCCAAGAAGGCACATTAATCTTTGTGGTATGAAAGTTTGTGCTTGTTGTAAGGACGAAGATAAGGGTAGCAACTGCACCCAGAAACTTTCAGATCAGTGTAATTAGGTTCTTGATTAAATAAGGTGAAATAAGGGGATACAAAATCAAGAGCTGAGTTAGGTAGTCTATTCAACAAATACGTGGTTGTGCTAAAGGCTGCCCACCAATATTTCAACGGCATGCCAGCATGAGCCAACAACGATAATCCGAATTTGGTAATTGATTTGTGCTTCCTTTCAGACCTGCCATTCTGTTGATGTAAATACGGACAGGAATGCTTAAACATAATACCATGTTTCTGCAAATAACTAGCAAAACTTCTATACTTTCCACCCCAGTCAGTTTGCAAAGACTTTATTTTAGAATCCAGTTGTCTTTCTAAGAAACAATGAAACTGTACAAAAATAGTATAAGCCTCAGATTTAAGTTTCAAAGGATAAATCCAAGTAAATCTGCTAAAATCATCAACAAATATGACATAGTATTTATATCCTTCACAAGAGTTTACAGGAGCTAGACCCCATAGATCCAAATGGATTATTTCTAAAGGAGCTTCAGCTCTAGAATCTGACATAGGAAAATGACATTGTTGCAGCTTCCCGTATTGACATGCTTCACAAAAGAAGTTGTTATTACTAGACAGAGAAGCCTTTACATTTAGCTTATTCAAGACAACATGAAGTGTTCTACTATTACGGTGGCCTAATCTTGCATGCCACAACGTGAACAAGTCTAAATTTGTATTATGACTAAGACATTTATTTGTAGCTAATATGGTAGTAGGAAAAGCAGTAACAACTGTTGAGTTGGAAGGACAATGATTTCTAGAAAACTTCTTTGAGGCAGATGATAACTTCCCAACATCAGGAGCAACAGGACAAGAGATAGACTTCATGCTTGGATTAACAAGCTTTGTCAACTCAAGCTGATATAAGCCATCCTTTACTGTGCCCCGAAGCAATATATCTTTACTACTTTTGTCTTTATCAAACAATGATCAGAGTGAAATTCAACAATCACATTGTTATCCTTAGTGATTTGTGATATACTCAGCAAATTTTTTGTAATTTATGGAACACAAAGAATATTTCTAAGATGAATTAATCTATTGTTATCTAGTGAGGATACCATCAGCATACCTATATGAGTAATGGGAATGGATTCTCCATTACCAACTTGTACCTTAGAGCCTCCTGGATAGGGAGATTTAAGCACTAGATTTGAGCCATCAGCCACCATATGATTTGATGCACCAGAGTCCATAAACCAAGACTGATCACAAAAAGTATGTGGAGTGGCTACTGCCTGATACACAGAGAAAACTTGTAGTGATGGATCACTGACAGGATTAGGAGAAGTTGTTGACGTAGCAGCAACAGAGTGAACTGGATAATTCCCTGGATACGAAAATTCAGAAACAACATAGTTATTTGAGCTAGAAGGTACTGAAGCTGAATGATCATGAAAACCAAGAAAGGAAGTGCTCGGAAACTAAACAGGATTTGGTTTGAAGTTGGTTGCCATTAGAGCTTGAGCTGATTCAGTTGATCCTTCATTAGTAAAACTATTAACTTGACCAGACTGTGGCTGTTGTGGTTGTTGATTGTATGAGGGTTGGTGACTATAAAAGGAGTTATTAAAGCCCTGATATTCCTGATCAAAACGGTGGTAACATTGCAATGCAGAGTGGCCTGTCTTTCCACACACTTGACACACTAGCTTTGGTTTGAAGTATCCTCGGCCTCTACCTCTGCCTCTCATCATGTTACTGTTACTAGAAAAATTCTGAGTATGAACAAATGGTCTGAAATTCGACCCTTGATACCCTTGAAATTCATTGTTTCCAAACACACCTCGCCCTTGATAACCACTGCTTATAAGAGCACCACTATTCTCTGCAAAATGAGTTAAGTTTGGAATAGGGACACCAGTAGGTAAATAATGTTGCGCACCAGTGTCTGAATTGAGAGAATGTGGGATAGTAGGTGTTGCTTTAGTAGCAGTATTTAGAAATTGTGTTGTAGTTGAATTAAGAGCATCACGTTGTCTGGTAGCCAACAAAGCAGATGTTAAATGTTCATGAAAATGCGTCATAGAAAAACTTTGACGTTCCAATCTCATCATATGCTTATGAAGCATAAGCAGAGCTTCTTGAATACTTGTTGTACTACTATTATATGTCAAACTAGCAACAATCGCATCATATTCAGGACCAAGACCGTCTAAAATATACAAGAGTAACTCTTCTTCCCCAAGATTTACTCCACTGGCAACTAATTCATCTCCAATCTCCTTCATTTTGAGAACATATTCATTCACACTTAAATCAGTCTTTTTAGTGCTTTGTAACATAATCCGTAAATGTAGTGTTCTAGCTTTGGAAAAAGACTAGAAATGTAACTCTAAAGTATTCCATATTTCATATGAACTCACACATTTTGCTACATGCCTGAACATGGATTCGGATATTAAAGAAAACAACCAACTAAAGATTGATCTAGTGTTTTCCAATTAAAATACTTAGGGTTTGGTTTCTTTACTACTTCCTCTGAATCAACAAATTTTTCAACAAGCAACATAGGTGGACAAATACTCTCACCAGTGATGAAGCCATCAAGACCGTGAGATACAGGAGCAGGAAAGATCTATGACCTCCAGTAGCCATAATTCTTTTCAGAAGCTTAACTGAAAGTGTGGGAAGTGAAGGATGAGCAACCAGACTATTTGCGTTTGCATTTCCAATTTGTTCACCTTTAGATTTCGAAGCAAGATTGTGTAATTGAGGATTGATTTGAGCCATTTTTTACGTGTGTCTATAGCTCTGATACCATGAAGATTATTGATGAAAATGGTGAAAAGATACGAGCAAAGAAAACAGAGAAAACACGTGATATCAAGAAAAGCTGAAAAAGATGAAAAGTGTGTATTTTCTGTATGAAGTTAGTTACATGTTAGTACAGCTGTTATTATATAACAGATCAAAAAGGTACCGTATTAAGAAACATTTTAATTCTTACAAATACACCCCCACTCTATTATACGTAATAACTAATACCCACTTGTTAATGACAGCACACAATGAGACCCCCTCTAAGAAGTTCCCAGAAGTCACGTAGATTATCTGGCCCATCTTTGCACCTCCTCTCTTAAATTGTAATTATTTAATATTTAAGCGTATATTTGTTCATAGACTCATAGTTCTAACCTTAAAATTTTTAACTTATATTGTTAACACTACGTTATACGAACAAATGATAAGAGTCTAATCCCGTCTCAATAACTTGATATAAAGATAGGATTCAGTCCACATATATGTATAACATAACTAATTTAATGTTCTATCAACACATAAGTGTTAATAAATAATTTAATATTCTATCAACGCATAAAATAAAAGACTAAAAGTAAACAACTTTTTCCCACCCAAGTAATGGTTTAATGACACTTTATCACCTACAAACTTTTAAAATACCACTTTATTACCCAATTTGTATTCCGTTTTTTATTCCAGCATTATTGCAACCCCACACCAACACTATTCTTTTCCCCGATTATCACTTATCAAAACATCTCAAACCCTACACCCGCCGACCTTGACAATTGCCAATAATGGAGCGTTAGGGTTTAAGCAACCACCCCTCCCAAGTCAAATTATGATCAATCCCAATCACCAAAATCCAACCTTCCACCACCAAAAGACTCATCGTCCTTCTCTCTTCAAAAACCCTAACAACCTAGACCGAGTTTGCTCTCTATTGGCCGTTAGAATATAAATTTGGATAGTAAAGTTGTATTTTAAAAGTTTGTGAGTGTGAAAGTGTCATTAAGCCATTATTTGGGTGGGAAAAAGTGGTTAACTCCTAAAAAAAAAAAAAAAAAAAAAAAAGAGTTACTTTTATTTTCTATATTAATATAACATGGTCCCATTAATTAGATCCAAAATTGACATTCAAATTATATATATATAACATAAGTGATTTAATATATTCTATATTATCAGGACGTAACCTATCTTTTATTTTATTTTTTATATTTATTTTTATTTTTTTGATAATAAAGCAAAAGGCATTTTTTTTTTGGGAAATCATTTAATGTAATTTTAAATAATTTTGAAGAGCAATGAATTGAAAAAAAAAATAATTAGCTGAATTTTATGTATTTCAATACTGAAAAGTGAAAAACCATCCACTTTTTTTTTTTTTTTTTGGGGGGGGGGGGGGGGGGGGGGGGGGGTTCACTAAACAGTGAATTACATATATTCCTGCTATCATCATTATTATCTAAAACTAATAGAAGTGAATTTTTTTGTTACTTTCTAGAATATAGAAATAAAAATATTATTATTTATAAAAGTATTAGATATGTTATTGTTACAAGTATATATTTTAAGTCTTTCGTTTCAAATGATGCAATAATAATCTGTAACCATTATATAGATAAAACCACGGTAAAATTAATAACACCTAAGTTAAAATTTTATTTATATATCGGATTATATTTTTCTATTTATTTTATATAAGAAAATAATTTTAGCAAATTACAAATATTAGTATGTTGATGGTGCTCTAATAATCACTAAATTACCCAAGAAAGAAAAAAGAAAACGAATAATTTAATTGTTATCATCAAGGTCTTTTAAGTGAACTGTTCGTAGTTTCATTTTTTTCATGAAGATGAATGAGCATGTTCAAGTTTCAATTTAAAAGTAAAACTAAAGTTGTATATAATTAACCATACCGCTCCAACGTTGGCCTTAATTTTCTTGATGTGATCAAGAGAGAAACTCATTGTCGCCATGTTGATTGGCCGAAACTCAACTCCATCATCCCCGGATCGTATTGGAGTTTTATCATCTTCAACTACAGTACTCTTTGTCACGCTCCAAGAGAAATCCGATACTGTCTTTGAAACCACAGAGAATATTTTAGGCAAAATCTTCAATATGCTGTTATTGTTGCCACCGTTCCTATTGTGGGAAGGCAACTGAACAGAAGGAAATGTCAAAGGAAGAGAAGGATCATCAGCTCTTTGTAAACATGAAAGAAGAGCTCCCCGTAAAGACAAGCCATCACCAAGCGAATGGTGAAGTTTGAATATCAAAACACCGGGTGCACTGGTAGTAGGGTATTTGAATATATGAATTTCCCATAAAGGTCGAGATTTTGCGAACTCTTCCATTCCTATTTTGGAAATATATTCATCAAGATAGTTGTCATAAGATTCCGGTGAAAGTCCAGAGGGGAATATGGGCACGTTTACATGGTCTTCCAGTGTAACTTCCACTCTCTTCCATTGTTTCTCTCCATTTTCGTCTACAACCTGTTGATAAATTCCACCCGTTAATTAACACCATATACACAAAAAGGGAAAATCACAGGGTTTGTTGCTTGTATATATGTATTAAAAAAGGTGAATTAATATATATGCATGATGCATGGTGGTGGGATTGAATGGTGTTATACCTGAAAATATAGGGCTGACGCAAGGTTTAGTCAGAATAAAAAGTCAGACCTTAGGTAGGCCTGCAGCCAGTTAGAAACAGCCACGTCACGTGGTGACAGGAGCAGCACACTCCTGTCAGTAAAGAGGGTGCGCGCCAGACCAATCAGAAGCTGTAGTGATTCCACGTGTTCAATCCCTGTACCAAATTGCGTAAATCACTCCAGAAGGTGGGCAATGTGACATAAAGAAGGATTTGCACGGATAATCCCACCAACTCGCAGATTTAGTAATGATAACCTTAATCCATCCCAATATAAATTGAGAATTCTTCTCTCGTTTGTGGGATTCGCTCATTCTACTCTTTATTAGCTATTCTCTCTCAAAAATATATAGCATTCTCTCTCTTGTACAATCATTTGTAAGTCAGTTCGCTAACGCGACCTGACCTCTACATTAATACAAAAATCAGTGGACGTAGGATGCACTTCCTTAGCATCCGAATCACTTTAAACGCTGTTTTCCATTGCATTTACTCTCATTTTCACATTCATGTGTGTCTTCTGGGCTTGCTCAGCATTTCACACATGCGTTTGGTTGGTGTCAAAATCACGCATCAACAGTTTGGCGCTAGAAGGAGGGCCTGATTTAGTATTCGTCCTTCATTAGGAGAATCTCTAACTTACTGGTCTTACAACAGCAAATGGCCCGCCAACTTGAACTTGAGTGAACCAACCAGGGTGCTGAGGAGATCCCCCAAGTCCAGGACACCTCTTCCGCGGTACCTTCGGTTCCGCAAAATATCACAGGAAATATCCCGTCAAGTTCACAACTTGACCCCGCCATCAAAAGCTACCTGGAGAGGTTCGACAACACTCTCTAGACGGTCAACCGAAGGTTGGACCGTTTGGACTAGGGCATGCCACCCGAATCAGCTGGGGTAGTGCAACCGCCAAAAATGCCTGCAGGTCGCGCGAAAGCGCAGCAAAGGGCGATAGCCCGTGTCGCGAGCACTGTAGCACGTCAAAGAAAGGGCAAGCAAGTGGTGAAAAATGGGCCTAAGGGCTCCAAAGGGCCGACGAACACCGACCACATCCCGAGTAGAATACCTGTGGCGTTAAGACTCGGTGAAAAGTCACAAACCAAGCCGTCCCATGCCACGTCGCATGCACACTCCCATAAAAGTGCTGTGCAAGGCGATTTTTATCACTGCCAGAAAAACGATCTTGATCGTCATCATGCTAGAGGTTCCCACACTTCGCGGGGCGGTTCGTACCACCGCGGAGGTCGTGAAAATTCCCTGCACCATCCATCGCCATCACACGACTCTAGCCAGCGTATGTTGAGAGCAACCGGAACTACTGGCCGAGGCGAAGTGGAATCCGACCTCCGGACTTTTCTCAACCGCAACCGTGAGGGTTGGACTCGCATAGGAGAAAGCAATCCTAGATAGCTCCGCTGCCTCAAATTGAGGAGTTGCAGCGAGCTCTAGACCAGCTAAGAGCTCAGCAAAACAAGCAGGGCAGGTCATGTTTGTTTCCTTTTTTTCTCCGGCAGTGTTAGCCGCCCCACTCCCATCAAGATTTAGAATATCCGACATACGGGCGTTCGATGGAAATTCTGATCCGTAGGATCATTTATATGAATTCAACGACCTGATGGAGCTTCACCAGGTCTCAGATCTAGCAAAGTGTCGTTGTTTGGTAGTAACTCTGACCTCTCATGCCAAACAATGGTTCAGGTCACTTCCAGCGGGATCGATCAACTCGTGGCCTCAAATGAGCGCAACATTCCTGAGGCATTTCCAAGCAAATCGAAAGTTCTCAATGCCTTTGAGCTACCTCAGCAACATAAGGCAAAAGAGGAATGAATCCCTCCAATCGTACATTGATCAATTCCACAGAGAGCTTAACAAGGTAGCTCACACTCCCGAGGAGTCTGTTCGGACTCTTATCATAGCGGGAGTTCGCCCACAGACCAACTTGTGGAAAGAGTTACAAGCTGAGATGATGTTTCCCTCACCTGTTTCTATAACCTTGCAAAGAAGTACCTCCGTATTGAAAGTTCCATGGCAGCGCTCTGCTGTCGCGACCACGACGCTTCGGGTAGTGCGTCTGGTCAGGAGGAAAGGAGAGTTGATCACAGATGGGCTACTGGCGATCAACGAAAAGGAAAGAAACCGCGCTATGAGCCCAAAAATTCTTATGCTCCTGTTCCTCGTCGCGATCGCGATAGAAATCAATATACGCCTTTGAATGCATCTGTATCTGCTATTCTTGACAAATCAAAAAAAGCTAGCCTGCTCGGAGAGCCTGAGCCCATGAAAAATCCCCCGTCAGCCAAAAATAGTAAAAAGTACTATCGCTTTCATCTGGATAATGGGCATCACACCGATGAGTGTCGAGCTCTCAAACACGCAATCGAAGACCTTATCAAGCAGAGGCATTTCAAGGAATATATTGATGATTCTACTCTCGCACAAGAGAAAAATCAAGGGGAGCCAGGAAAGAAGCGTCGTGATTGAAAGATTCAGCATGCATGAAGAGTGGTGGAGATGGAGAATGATCGCATAGGATATTGTAGTGTCAACCTGATCTTTGGGGGGCGCACCTCACGGGGAAACACACGAGGTGCCCAGGAAAGATATGCTCGCGCGGCTCATCATGACCTAATCAGTGTGAGAGCATGTCGCAGTGACCACAAAAGGTTGAATGAGGAGCCAATTACCTTCTCCGAGAAGGATGCAGCCCATCTGCATCATCCCACGACGACGCTGTGATCACACCCTCATAGAGAACCATAACGTTTGCAGGATGCTAGTGGACAACGGAAGGGTTGTGAACATCCTATTCCAGAATGCTTTCGAAAGAATGAACTTGGACAAGGCCGACCTGAAGCCCTACAAAGGAGTAGAGTAGCGGAATAATAACTGACCAGTGAATGCTGAAGGGCTGGATCTGCCTGCATCTGGGCCACATATATTACCCTGGCTATTGTGCCTCCAATGCAGGGACTGAAGTTGCAGACTAATAGGGCAATCTTAGCAATATGACCTGGCTGGCGGCATCTGAAACAAACATTGGTCCCACTAGACATTTACCCCGGTGTCTTCTCCGACATTTCTTACAGTAACTGACCTCACCTTTCCTTTGTTGGCCTTTTTCTTCATGTCCTTCCTGGTGCTTTAGGTAGGACTCCTTTCTTGCCTTTACCCTTATCGTCTTTGCCAACAACTTGTCTGCACTACTGGATTGGCCAAGCTGGAGAGGACTACTTGCCATTGTTGGGGAAATAGCTAATCTGGTCTCCTTTTGTAAGTACACCTCTGCTCTGATGGCTCTAGCGAGTGCTTCACTATATGTTTGGGAGGGCTGATGACCGACATAACATCTTTGGTGATAGTGGGATGAAGTCCCCCCACAAATCTCTCCAATCAGGTCTGGGTGTACTAACCGATGTGGATGCAAACTTAGCCAAGGAGTTGAACTTGATTGAATACTCTTTGACTGTCATATTTCCTTGTTGCAGACTAATAAACTCTTGTAGTTTTGAGGATATCATGTCTACTGTCCGGTACTGCTCCTCAAACATTCCTTGAACCCTGACCAGTGGAGTGGTAGTATTTGGTCTGCTCCATAAGCTCCCACCATGTCATATCATCTCTCTCAACAGGTACGTATCATACCGGATCTTCTCTTGATCTGTCATAGGAAATAGAGCAGTAGCTTTCCACCAACTTGATCTATTGTTCGGCTACTACTGGATCATTAGTGCCACTAAATTCTGGAGGTTGATATTTACTTGAGAGGCCATAATTGGTTCAATCTACTTTGGGGCAACCATTGCTTTGGAGTACTTGTCCCTATGCTCTGATTGGTAACACATTGGTTGTTCCTGTGTCACCAGAGTAGTTGTACTTTCGACGGGGTTCTCCTTAAAGCTCTATTAAACCCTCTGGATCATATGCTCCAATATGGAACATCTAAACCCGGAGCGCTTGAAGTAGCAGCTGTTGGGTTAGGAGCTTCAGGTGCAGTTGGAACATCTTGTGCATTCGAAGCATCACTGCGACCTGGATCCGTTCTCATGTTTTCCTCATATTTATTCCCTATCACAGTCACATATAACATTAATCATCTAATCCATCCTACATAAATCAAGTAAACATACTTACAGTGATGGACAACTTCAGCAGCGAAACTTTACATGAGGGAACTGTCAGCGACTTCATAAATGCTGACTCTATAATGGAAAACATTTAAAACACCTTTTTATTTTTTTTTATTTTTTATTTTTATTTTTTGTTTAAAGTCACAAAATACTTGCTCTGTACCAAATGTAAAACCCCCCTCCAGTTAGGTATCCTCTGAATATCCCTCAATGAGAATCTCGAGGATACATGTCTGGAAAACGAGGTTGTATTTAGAAAAATATTTGTGTAAGGTAATAATAGTAATATCCAATACATGCATATAAAAGTCATGCAGGATCCAAAATATAATTTCAAAACTTTAAGATTATCATAAAATACACATTCGAAACATATTATAGGGTGGACTATTCCAAAAGGTGTTCACAAATATTTATCATTACATTATTACATCAAGATAAAAACATCAAGATGACAATAAATCATTCCCCTCACGTGTAGCCCCGTTGTCTCTAGCATCCCTCGCTTCTAGTCTACCTACAAGAAATCAACAATAAAAGGGTGAGCGTAACGCTCAGTAAGGAATGATCCGTTTCATTCTAAATGTGCTATTGATCTTATTTAAACATATTTGAACACATCACTTATCTTTTACATCTAGGGATACTTCCCTTTTATTTTATTTTATTTTTATTTTTATATGTCTTTATCATTTTATCCCATGGTATATAACATCAATGTGTACACATACAAATAAGTATGTAAACATAGTACACGCAAATCACATGTCATGACATAACATCTAAATCATCTAACATGAGCATAAATATCACATAATGTAAATAATATCATAACTCATGTAATCTTACTAACGCATATGAAATTTAATGTCTAGCCGATCAGAATTTTCTTAGCATCTTAAGCACTTCATACATCTAGCCTAAATTCATCTAGAGCTCAATTCATCGGGAGGCGTGTTTATGATTATTAGCATCTAAAGCATATATTCATCTTTCCTCAACTGTATACGAGGATATGCTTACACGTTTCTCATCATGTCTATATGAATCTCTAACATCTTATGGCATGTAAATACATATTTTGGTGAGCTTAATCTTTTAATTCACTATGGATTATCAATCCATGTAAATTATCTCTTGCTCACATACATCATCTTAAAGCATGTATTACATTGCATCTTCATGCCATTTGATAACATTAATCATGCATTGACATATGACCATGTATATTTCAAAGTCATCTAACTAATGGGTAAACCTATAGTACATGGCATAATTACAATATACATTAATATCATAAGAATTGATCATGTTAAATCTTAAACTTAATAACTAGTTTTACTTCAGGCCATTTTTCATCCATTTCTCAAACGAATTGGCTCTTGGCATAAACATAAAAGTTATAGGTCTGTGTCTTAGCTCTAATGCTTCAAGAATCATCTTATTTATATTTTTATAACTCAAGTTATGGTCAAAATACTGAAGCAGGGTTAACAAACCCCTAGCTCACTAAATCCGAATTTTCATATTAATATGCACATCAATTCCTATTGACATTAACCAATAGTTCAACTTATGGATCAAATAAACCTCCCCTTAATAGTCCTAACATCTTAAAGGAAGTGTAAAATCTCATTCCCATAATCATCCATATTGCTATAACATTGTAAGCTAATGTAAACAACACTCAACACTTTAATAGCAACCATTCAACACCATGTGGCCTCCAAATACAAGTTTTGCCAAAATCAGCATCCCACACTTCATTTTCTTCAATCAAACATAACAACTCAAAAATAAATAGCAATAACTCAGTATAATGAATTCAAAGCAATAAGTAGAATAAATGAGTTCAACTACACTTGCCATCAACTAATTCTATGCCTTAAAGCCTTAATTTAAGGTTTCATAAAATCTACAAACCCAGCATAAACCCTAAGTCATGGGGGTTCTTCCTTACCTTTTCAAGACTTCCTCCAACAAATCTTTGCCTTTGACTTCTTTTACACCTTAATCCTACATATATATATTATACCTCAACATCTACCTCAAATCTTCAAATCACATCAAACTAAAGTTTTAATCCTTACCTTAAACCCTTCAAATTGAAGATCCAAGGCTCCTATCTTGTTCTCCTTGAAAAATTAAGCAAAACTCCTTTAAAACTTAGAGAAAGAAAGCTTGTTTCATGGAGATTTGAGAGAAAATGGAAGAATGTTGACGAAAGGCTCTCTCTTGGCTTGAACGAATTTCATCTCATTTATAGGAATATTTATTTATTTCCAAAATTATGCAATTGGCCCAATTATTTTAGTTGTATAACTCATAAGTCCTTAATTCTTCATATAAGGGCATTTCGGTCATTCACACTAGACATATTATTACTTAATTAATGCTATTAAATGCAATGAAGCCTACTCATCCTTGACT